CAATCTTGATTTGAAAGTCAGAGTATCTGACTTTATAGTTTATCTTTAATTATGACATCAACTTAATGGTATTACTACCTGTTCCTATTCCGAAAAGTTTGCAAGAGTTAGAAAAAGAAGATGATTAATCTGATTAATTTTCAGACCTCACTGAAGTTGGTTGTTTTTTAATAACTAATAAAATTTTAGGAATGTACAGGTCTTACTACATTTGCTCTATTATAAGCTGATAATAGTTTTAAGGGGTGTAAGGAATGAAAACCCTCTTTCTTATGACATGCCTTCCGTCTAAACCAATTATTATAATTTTACAGACTAGCAAAGACATTACAGATACCTCCAAATATACCAGAAGGTGGTATATATTTGTAAACTTCTGATAGATATATGCACTTTTTAAGTATTTGATGGTAATATAGAAGTAACTTCTCATGGAGCCATGAAATAAAGATCTAAATAAAATCAAACTCTCCTTTCACAAAATGAGTATTTTCTGAAGAATGTGTATGTACGTAGTTTGGGATACCTAATGACTAAAATTTAATTAAGCATTTGGAAAGAATTGCTATCAATATACAAATGAAGAGTCAGGTCAGTTCCAAAGATTTTTCTGATAACTAGACTCAGTATTCTTTTCAGAACTTGATATTTTAAACATTCCCTATGATATTTTCAAATAATATCTAGGGTAGATTCTGTCATTGACATTACCCTGATTTTCAAGATTCTGCCATCTGTCTCCTGCACACCCACTCACCTTACTATTGATTTCCCAAAGATTTTACTTCTCTCGTTACTTTCTGAGGAGTGATTGATGAATGTAGCCTCACAGTCCCCTCTCTTGAAATAAGGGCAAGCATGCAAACTTGCCCTTTTGAGTAGGAGGAGACACCCAGAAATAATTTCCAAGAGTTAGAAATGTGATGGAGATGCTGGCAACAGTGTGAGAAGGAGATTTGAGTCTAAACTAAAAACAGGTTTAATGAAGACACTTCTCTAGGATTGACTGAGCTCTTTTCACAGTCAGTGGGATGCATTTCCATGATTCTCATGTGAATAGTGAAAGGTTAATAGGAGATGGCAGCTGTTTTTTTTTTTTCACGCCAGCAGAAATAGTACCCAGGCATTCTGGCCACAGAACTATTTGGAGAAATTACTTAAGTATTTATTGAGGTTTTACCAGTGTCCTTGGCAATGAAAATGATTTAAAAATATAGTTCCTGTGCTAAAGAATGTACAAACTTATTAGAAAAAAAATGCCAGTAAACACATAACACACAGCTGTTGTGACCCACAGGACATCGGATGTGAATACTTTAAATATCACATCACTTACCTCCTTCAAACTGCTCATGATGTTAAACAGGAAGGTGTTTTCAATTCAGATAACCATCAGAAAAGTAGAATTCCTGGCAACAAGAACAGAACATACCTTCCCTATTTCTCCCTTGTAGCACATTTGAATGGACTTAAAACTCCAACAAGGGCAGGGGCTAAGCCTGCTTTGTTCACAGCTAGAACCAAGCACAGTGACTTGCACACAGCAGATGCTTGATAAGTATTTACTGAGTAGTAGTACTGAGGCAAAGAGGATTGGGGTCAATGCCCAGTCTAAAGAGCTTCTCCTTTACTAGTCCCAATGTTTTGTAAGGACTTTATTTCTGGGTCAGACATGCTATAACGCTACTGCCTCTGGAAAATGGCACTTGTGAGAAGGTGGACTCAGAGTTATTTATCCTTGACCAGCTTCCCAGACCACTTCCCAACTTGGAATTTGGTTTTGAGAGTCTACTTTGTTGCTTATTGGCCTACACATCCAGAGACACTTTGGGCTAGCCTTACCAACACTAAAGGCTGCTTTTCTTCATGGGAATAAAATGAGCTCGGCTGAGAAGTCATGTCTTCCCTTTCCTGTTTTCTGTCTCCTTTAGGCCACAAATACAGGAACAGGAAGAGAATAGATGCATAAATAGTCTTTGTTCTTGGATTTTAGCTAGGCTTCGGATAAAACTGTTTACTACTGAGGAAGGCAGTGATGGAAAATCAGGGCTTTCAAATTCAAACCCAAGACATAAATGGGTAAAATCGAGCCGATGAGTAGTGAAGCACAGAACACCCAACTCATAAAGACAGCGAACAGAAAGGCACCACTTTAGCCGTTTCCAGGTCTAAGTAAAATAATGCATTATTAACAAAGATAATACTAGCTTCTAGGTAGAAGAAACGTCAAGTTCCAGTAGATTGTCACAAGTTTATTCTTCTCTCCCACAGTGTCCAAACAGGTGTTCCTGGCTGGTGGGTAGCTCTCCTCCTATGATGTGGAAATTTGGACCCCTTTCTTCTTGTGACTTCACCATCTTCAACCAGTGATGCAACAAGTGGCCCTCAGGGTCATGTCCCTTCCAGCCAGTCAGAAGAGAAACAAAGCATGTTGAACCACTTGTGGAAGGTTTCTATGCTGTTGGCTCCCAACCCACCTTCCACGGGTTGGAGTTGAGTCACACAGGCATGCCTCACTGAAAGGAAATAAAATCTACTCCTGTGCTCAGGAGAAAGAGGAGGTGGGTTTGGTCAACAACCAACTCGTCTCTGCCCAAGACCAGGCTAAGTACTTAGAGAAAAACTTCAGCAATTTTAGAAGGTAACATTGAGGATAAAGTTCCAGTGATAAAGTACTATCTCTGAACAGCCTTTTAGAAGACAGAAACAGTGTGGAGTCCACAGAAGATCAGCATAACTTGGACAATTAAAGAACAGGAGGTCCAGCTGGACCAGTGCCATATTAGGCTTAAGGTTTTCACCACTGATTAATGAAGATAAACAGAATTTGTATCATAGCCCTACTACATGTAAAGATTTTAAAAATAAAATGTTTTTATATCTTGGCTCTAAGTAACATGTGTATAAGAAGTTCAATGTAGAGTGTTAGAAGGGTTATGCTTGATTCAGGCTGGTAAATGTAGGTACAGAGATCCAACCTGAAATATATCTGATGTTCAATAAATACTTGTTGAAAGAAAGATGGACTGAATCTGATGAAAGGTTATAGAAAGAGGAGTCCAAGTGATAAGATACACTTGCAGTGTATTTTTGGCCAGGTCAGGATATTTACAAAATCTATCTTCAAGGAAAAAGATCCAAGCTGACCGAGCTTGGCCATCAAAATAGTGAAGTGCAGAGCAGGACGACTAGAAGGGAAACTGAAGCAGAAGTCCAGCCATTGCATACAGAACAAAGGTAAGATCAGATTTAAACTGAGTGGGGTTCTAAGTTTCTGAGACTCATAACAGACACTGGAGAATGAATCTTCAAAAAAGTATGAATTTCCTCATTATTATTGTGCCTGCTTTGGCCAGAAATAACTCAAGAATCAGACACAACTGGTTCTAAAATGAATAGCTCTCATTTCTAGTACCTGGGAGGGGCGATGCATCTTTCTTAGTTTCTAGACTATAAAACCTGTGTGTGTTAAGTACCCAATAGATGTTAATTTACTTATATTTTGAAAACAGAAGTTGATTCAGTCTCTGTAAGGGATTTTAAGAAAATAAATAGGCTAAAGCACAGAAAGATATAGTTTTAAGTGTAAAACCTGCCAGATCTACTACTGTCTATAAATGACAGATGGACTCCCTGAGAGCACTATCACTTAAGACAATGAAGGAACCCCTCCCTGCCTCATCCAGAAAGCTGAGGCTGGATCAGTAGTATATCAGGATAATAGGTTCTCTACTTCCTCCAATATCTATGTGGTTATACTAAAACAACTTGGTTAGATCCCAAATTATAGATTATGATTACTGTTTTCCAAATTCATATCCAATGTATATTACATTGGTTTATCTTTTCACTTGTTCCATCTATTACTGTGCCACCGTTCATTTTATCTCTGCTTTATTGATCTTGAGCCTTTTCCCCTATCCATCCCTAGTTTTTAAAATTCTACTCAGTACTCCACTAAGATGTCTCACAGCTTCCTCCTTTTCATCTTCATTCTAAGTGCCACTGTTTCAGTTGGGCTTCTGTCAACTCTCGCCTAAATCTCTACAGCTATCTTCCTAGCTTAGTCTCCGTGGTTCTAGTCTCTCCATCACCAGGGCTTGCTGAGTACTTTTTGTATGTGTTTTAAAATTCATTTCAAAGTTTAAAAAAAAAATTGCCAAGCCCACAGCTAATATCATACTCAATGGTAAAAGGTTATAAGCTCTCTGCTAAGATTAGCAACAAGCCAAGATGACCACTCTCACCACTTCTATTCAACATAGTACTAGAAAGTGCAGCCAGAGCAATAAGGCAAGAAAAGAAATAAAAGGTATTAGAATTGGAAAGGAAACAAGTTAAATTATCTTTATTTGTCGATGACAATTTTATATATAGAAAATCCTAAAGACTCCACAAAAACTGTTAGATTTAATAAATTCAGTAAAAATGCAGAATATAAAAACAACACACAAAAGTCAGTAGTACTTCTACATACTAACAATGAATTATATGAAAAAGATAACCCATGTATGATAGCAGCAAAAATAATAAAACATTTAGGAATAAACATAACCGAGGAGGTGAAACATCTGTACACTGAAAACTATAGACATAGATGAAAGAAACTGAAAACACACAAGTGGAAAGCTATCCCATGTTCACAGATTAGAATAATCAATATTGTTTAAGTGCCCATACTACCCATGGCCACCTATAGTTTCAATGCAATCCCTATCAAGATTCCAATGGCATTTTTCACAGAAACAGAAAAAAACCCTAAAATATGTATGGAACCATAAAAGACCTTGAATAGCCAAAGCAATCCTGAGAAAGAAGAACAAAGCTGAAGGCATCACACTTGGGATTTCAAACTATATTCAAAGCTATAGCAATCAAAACAGATGTATTGGCATAAAACCAGATACAGAGGTCAACAGAACAGAATATAGAGCCTAGAAGTCAACCCACACATACACGGTCAATTGATGTACAACAAAGGAGCCAATAATATGCAATGGGGAAAGGATACTCTCTTCAATCAATGGTGTTAGGAAAACTGGACCACCACATGCAAAAGAATGAAACTGGATCCGTGTCTTTCAACATGCACAAAAATCAACTCAAAATGGATTAAAGACGTGAATGTAATACCTGAAACCATAATGTCAAGAAGCAAACATAGGGGGTAAACTCATTTTATTAGTCCTGGCAAAGAGTTTTTGGATATGACACCACAAGGAAAGGCAAAAAAAAAAAAAAAAAAAAAAGCATAAATTAACAAGTGGGACAACATCAAATCAAAAAGCTTCTGTACAGCCAAAGGAACAATCAACAAAATGAAAAGGCAGCCTACAGAGTAGAACTGCAAATCATTTACCTGATAAGGCGTTAATATCTAAAAAAATATATAAAAACATACACAACTCATAGCAAAAATATAAATAATTCAGTTGAAATAATGCGCAAAGAACCTGCATAGACAGTTTTCCAAAAAACACATTCAAATGGCCAACAGGTACATGCAAAGGTGATCAGCATCACTACTCATCAGGAAAATGCAAGTCAAAACCACCTCACACCTGTTAGAATAGCTATTATCAACAAAGAGAAGTGCTGGCACGATGTGGAGGATAGAGAACTCTTGTATGCTTCTGGTGGGAATGTTGTTTGGCATAGCCACTGTAAGAAACAGTATGGAGGTTCCTCAATAAGTTAGGAATAGAACTACCACATGC